GTTTCTGTTCATTTTTTGTTTGTTTGGTACCAGCGATCGAACTCTGGTCCTTGTGCTTGCGCAGCAGGCGGCGAAACCACTGAGCTAAATCCCCAGCCCTCCCCCACTTTTTAAAGAAAGTCTTGCTAAGTTATCAGTTGCCCAGGCTGAGCTTGAACTTGGGATCCCCTTGCCTCAGCCAGCTAGAGTGCTGGGGTAACAGGTGTGCACTAGTACACCCAGTTTTAAGGATATCCTCCCGTAGCTGTGTATCATTTTATCTTGCCAAATGAGAGAGATGATCCCCTCACAGATTACCACTCCTAATTCAACCTCTCTCCACATCAGCGTCTTGACAATGTGAAGTCCAGAACTGTCACCAAGTCCATCCATACAGACTAGTGTCTACAGCCATGTACAATACTGTCTGCCTGCAGGCACAGCTACTCCAGGGCTGAGGCAGAAGGATCACTTGAATGCAGAAATTAGTTGGTAAACATCCTGGGAAACACAGTCCCCACCTCAAAAAAACAAAACAGAAACCCCCCGCAAATGTAAATCCTGTAAAGCCCCTTAAGCTTTCTTCAAGAAAGCCCACAGGTCTAAAAGCCACTGTGGGAGGATTTATTCTGGTTTCTTCTGACCTTAATATCAGCTAGATGCACTGACCAGATGGAAGAGGGGGTCTGACTCCTACTGATTCCTAGTGTTTCCCATTTCCTGTAATATTCCTACCATGGCCAATTTCAAGCCAACACAGCCACTTAATAACACTGTGACCAACATAGTCACTTAACATGGAGCAGGGAAGAGGTACCAATAATTGGCTCTCAGGAGCCAATGAGAGGTAGTTCCAGCACCATGGAGGCTGACAATCCCTCTCCGAGCCCTGGCCCTTCTGCTGGCCTACTTCTTCCACCTGCTGTAACTGCTTAGCACTGGGTCCAGTTTGAACTCAGTCACCTTTGTGCAACAGAAGGAAGATTCCAGGAGGCTAGGAAGTATTTTATTGACACCAAGGACACAGCCATAAGAGAGGGAAGCACACAGGACTGCAAACTAAAACCCAATAGCCAGTGAAGGCCTTTTGGGGCAGGAGCACTGCATCCTGAGGTCCTCACAGTCTCCCACCAGTAGACACACAAGACTGGGCAACCAAGAGAGAGGGCAATGGCTTGGGTGTCCCAGCCAGTGAGAGAATATATGCTTCATTATGAGTGAAAGGATAAGGAGGTGAAGTGGAGGGAAGACTCATCATTGCCTAAGACCACCTCCTCCTCTCAGTGCCAACACCAGGTGGAGGACAGAACCGCCTAGAATCTTGTAGTCAGCTGCTGTCTTCTCATCATTCCTGCAGGGAGGAAAAAAGCATTAGAAATACCATCTAGAGCAGGAGTGTTTAACCTTTCATGGATCTCTTTGGGAACTTGGATGAGGAAAAAAATTCTATCATTTTTTTTTTACTAACCCCTAGGTGTCATATTCATTTTTATTTTATACATAGGCAAAAAATATAATACTGTAGTATTAGCAATGAGTAATTTGTTAATAGAAATTAGGTATTTTCATATCATATATCAACTACTTTTAGGTATCTTAAAATATTTCAAAATTATGGCACTTATTAGACCCAGGAGTAGATCTTAATTTGAGGGGAGCAGTTTTGAGACAGGGTCTTGCTATATAGTTCAGGCTGGCCTGAACTCACTATATATCCCAAACTGGCCTTGGACTCTCGGCAATCCTCCTGTCTCAGCTACCTGACTGCTGGGATTGCAGGAGTGTGCCACAAACCTGGCAGATCTTAATTTATTAACAAAGAAACAGAAGCTGGGCACAGTGGCAAAGTGGCACAGGCCAGTTATCCTAGCTATCTGAGGAGCTCAGGCAACAGATCACAAGGTCAAGACCAGCTTGGGCCACTTAGCAAGACCCTGTCTCTAAATGAAAAATATAAAGGACTGGGAATGTGGCTCCCACTGTTAAGCCCTCTTGGGTTTGATTCTAGTACTACAAAAATAAGCAAACAAAACAACAACCACAAAATAACAAAGAGGCAAGCTCAATACACCTCCAGCACGTGATTCCGCCTCATCTCACAAAAGATCACTCTGCCCTCATTCTCCCTCCAAACTCACATCTGTTTGCCACTGTAGATGAGCCGCTGTTGCTGTGGTGGGATTCCCTCTTTCTCCTCCACTCGCTCCTTGATTCGCTCCACCTTAAGAGGCACAAGTGGTTAGAGGCTGCTTGTGGACAGAACCATGGAAATAGAAAGAACAAGGGCTGAGGAGAGAGCATGGGAATAAAAGGATCAGGCTCCTAAGCAGTCCCGAATAAAGGGAGAAGGCAAGGAGAACGGCAGAGGGAGGTGCTGGGCATAGTCACCTTATCTGTGGGTTCAATGTCAATTTCAATCTCCTTTCCAGTCAGTGTCTGAAACATAAACATTTTGTTAAGTATTACATTCAAAACTAAAATTTGTCTTCTAGGTAAAATTTCCTGTGCTGATCTTTAGGGATCTGTTGTCTTCTGAGAGATACACGTTTCCAGCAACTCTGCTTTGGAGAATCAGAAGGCTTGAAAGTACTTGTTTTTAGCAAATGGTTTTATGCTGTGGTTTCTTTTTTTTCCCCTTTTAGTAACGGGCATTAAACTCAGGGCCTTCACAGAGTTACAGTCCCAGGCCTTTTTTTTTGTTGTTTTCAGAGTGTTCCTAAGCCACTAAGCATGAGCTAGGCTCCAATATGAGATCCTCCTGTCCCAGCTGCCCAGTGTACTGGAATTACAGGGATATGTTATAGCACCCAACAGCTGTGGACAATTTTTTAAAAACATTAGTTCTTTTCAGTTTTTGAGATAGGGTCTCATTATGTAGTTCAGGCTGGTCTTGGTCTCACTATATAGCACAGGCTGGCCTGGAACTTGTAGTGATCCTCCTGCCTCAGACTCCTGAGTGCTGAGATTACAGGTGCATGCCACTACACCTGGCAATTTGTAAAAGAAATTATTAGTACAGTACATGTTTGCATTGCATAGTGATCACATTCATTATAGGGAGCTTGTATAGGTTCGTAACACATCTGAATTCTTTTTATTTCCCCTTCTCCCCTCCCTCCATGTCTCAGTCCCCTTCCCATTTGCAAAAAATCTATCTCCATTTTCCTGTCATCTTCCTTTTATTTTGCTTTAAATCATTTACTTTGTGTTTCTCATATTAGAGAAAGTATGTGATATTTAACCTTCTGTTTTCTGATTTATTTCAGTTAACATTATGGTCTAAATGTTCACCCAGCTTCCTACCAATGAATCAAAGTTACCATTTTTGGCAGAGCTGTATTTCACTGGGTATATATACAGCATCTCTTTACCCACTTGTGTGCTGATGGATACACGGGCTGTTTCAAAGATGTAGCTGTTATGAGTTGTGCTGCTATGAACATGAGTATGCACATATCACTGTGAGAGGATGCCTTTAACTCTTTCTGGAAGATACCTAGAAGGGGAATAGCTGGGTCAAATGGAATTTCTATTTTTAGCTTTTTGGGGAAATCTCCATTCTGATATCCATAGTGGATGTATTAGCTTACATCCCTACCAACAAGGGTTTCCTTTTCTCTGCGGCCTTATTATCTGATTTATTGATGATGGCCATTTTCTCTGGTGTAAGATGGAATCTGTGTTGTTTTAATTTGCATTCTCTAACTGCCAGGTATGTTGAACATTTTTTTCATGTATTAATGGCCATTTGTACTTCTTTTTCTGAGAAGTATCTATTCATTTCAATTGACCATTTTTAAATTGGAGCTTTAATTTTAGGGGGAGGGTCTGCTTTTTTGAAGTTCTTGATTATATATTCTAGGTATCAAGTTCTCTCTGATCACCAGCAGGCAAAACCTTTTTCCCATTCTGTAGGTAATCTCTTAGCTCTGTTGGTTGTTTTCTTTCCTGTGCAGGAGATTAATTTGATATAATCTCCATGTTGATTTTTTTTTTTTGGTATTGGGGATCGAACTCGGGTCCTTGCGCTTGCGAGGCAGGCGCTGGAACCACTAAGCTAAATCCCTGGCCCCGTGTTGATTTTTGATGTTACTTATGGTACAACTGGGTTCTGTTCAGGAAGTCCTTGCCTATGTCTATGTTTTCAAGAATTTTACCAATTTTGGCCTGGCGTGGTAGCATATGCCTATAATCCCAGCACTCATGAGGCTGAGGCAGGAGGATCACCATGAGTTTAAGGCCAACCTGGGCTACATGAGTTCAAAGCTAACCTGAGCTACCTGCTGATACTCGGTCTCAAAAAATAAACAAAAATTTTTTAACCAATTTTATCTTCCAGTAAATTGTTTATTTTAAAAGTTCATTGATTAATTTATTTGCTTTCCTTAAACTCACTATGTAGCCCAGGCTGACCCAGAATTTGCAGTGATTCTCCTGTCTCAGTCTCCAGAGTGCTGGGATTACAGGCATGCCTCATCACATCCAGCTTAGTTATTCACTCACTCATTTATTTATTTGAGACAAGGCCTCACTATGTAGCCCAGGCTGGCCTTGAACTCATGGTGATTCTCTTGCCTCAGCTTTCCCAGTGCTGGAATTACAGGTGGGTGCCACCATGTCCTAATTTTATTTTAGTACATAGTGAGATATATAGATCTAAATTCAATCTTCTGTATGTTTACAGCCAGTTTGGCTGTGGATAATTTCAAAGCATTTCTCTTAATTCCACAAGTCATCTACTTCTGCTCACATGCCTCTAATTAGTGAGAACCCTGGTATTTTCATTGGGAGGGAGGTGCTGTATGACAATAAGAGGTGTCCTAAGTAAAATATTTCTTCAAGTCAGAAAGACTTTGTTCTAGTATAAATATCAACTCCAGAAATCAACATTCAGATACCTCAAAGAATTCTAAAGGATACCAGAAATAACCTTGATTAAAAAAAATTTTTCTTTTTTGGAGACAGGATCTCAGCTTTGTCATTCTGAACTCACTATGTAGCCTAGGCTGGCCTCAAACTCCTGGTGATCCTCCTGCCTCAGCCTCCCAAGTACTAGGATTACAGGTGTATGCTACTACACCCAGCCACCTTGACCAATTTTTAAATTCTAGAATTTAACACTGTACATGTTCATATATGCTCTAGACTTCTTAAATCCTAAATTCAGCTCTAATCTTCCTGACTTCTTCCATATGCTAAGGACTGGTGATAACCAAATGCAGTACGTGTAGTGACTGTATAAGTTACAAACGTTGTGCTCTAATGAATGTAATCTGCCATCTTTCCTTGTTCTTAAGGTCTGTCCACAACAGAGCTAGGTGTGTAGATCAGTGATAGAGTGTTTGAGTGTTTGTCTGACACATACAGGCCCATGGGTTTGATCCTAGCACTGAAAAAAAGAATAAAAGAAAAAAAAATACTATCTACCATAGTCTACAGTGATCCAGACCATAAATATACCATGGTTTATCTAGTTTAGAGCCATGTCTTAGCTTCAGGTTACCCTCCCTCAATCTCCCAAACTTCAAGGACCTTTTATATACGGTCTCTTCCTGTATGATGCCAAGACTTATCCCTAGTGCACTTTATTACGACTTCCATTAGGGGGCCGGGGATTTAGCTCAGTGGTTTCGACGCCGGCTGCGCAAGCGCAAGGACCCAAGTTCAATCCCCGGTACCAAAAAAAAAAAGACTTCCATTAATGCCAACTGCAGCTAGTTGTTTAAGTGTTAACCTCTGCAACTTCATTTCAGCTTCCTAAAGGACAAAGATTGTTCAATTCATCTTCCTAATTCAAACACAAAGCATGGTTTCTGACATATAAGCAATCAATAAATATTTGTAGAAGGGCTAAATTTATTGATGATCATTTTGTAATCCCAGTCAACATTTACTATACTAAGGAAGAGAAACCATGCCCAATGTCTTACATGCATCACACATTTAATCCTCCCAAGAATATATTTATTTATTTTTGTTATTTTGAGACAGGGTGTTACTGTTATTCAGGCTGGCACAGACTTGTGCCACCATCCCCAGCTTCCTCCTCCCTTCAAAATACCAGGTAAGGAGAGTTTCATGAGTATAAGTAAAATAAGACTGTTCATGAGATGGTAATTTTTGAAGCTTGGTGAAGGGTGCACATGCCCTTCCCTTTGTTGCTGTTCGTATGAAACTGTCAGCCTCCCAGCCAGACATGGTGGCGCACAGCTGTAATCCCAGCACTCGGGAGGCTGAGGCAGGAGGATTGTCAGAAGTTTGAGGTCAGACTGGACTGTAGTGAGTTCAAGATCAGCCTAGACTATACAACGAGGCTGTCTCAAAAAGACTCAAAAAAAAATTGTCAGCCTCCCTCCCAAATAGCTGGGATTACAACTGTGTGCCACTGTGCCGAGTTTACAAAATATTCTCTTTTTTTTTTTTGGCAGTACCGGGAATGGAACTTAGGACCTTACACTTGCCAGGCAGGCGCGGCGCCACTGAACTAAATTCCCGGCCCTTATAAAATATTCTTGATCATGTCAATCTGGATTTCTTTCCTCAAATATGATCTCTCTGACCTGGCAGTACATTCAATGCTACTTAACAAATATATGCTGAACTTAAACTCAACAGAGCCCTATGAGATACAGAGATGCAAAAGTAATTCAAAAGTAACTACAAAAGTTAGGAGGGGTTGGAGCAATTAGAAAGGTCAGATATTACAGGAAGGAAGATAAAATGGTCCAACCTCTTGGAGAACTGTTTGCAGTTTATTTTTAAAGTTATATGTATCTACATGACCTAGTAATTCTGTTTCTAGGTGGGTTTTTTGTTTGTTTGTTTTTTGACACAGGGTCTCACTATGTAGTTCAAGCTGAACTTACCATGTAGCCCAGGGTGGCCTCGAACTCACAGCAATCAAGTGCTGGGATTACAGGCATACACCACCATGCTTGGCCTGTTCCTAGGTATTTAGCCAAAGAAAATGAGAACATCTGCCACAAAAAGACTTACATAACAATGTTCTGAGAAATCTTACTCATGATAACCATTTGGAAACAACCCAAATGCTGATCAACAGAATGGACAAACTGTGATATAATCATCCAATGGAACATTATTCAGTAATAAGAAGGAACAAATAACAGAAACAAGAGACATTTTGCTGGAGAAGCTAGATACAACAACATATATTGAATAATTCCATTTATATAAAGTTCTAGAGCAAGCAACACTAACCTATAGAACTTTTGAGGGGTAGTGGTCAAAATATTTTTAAGTTTGTAGTTATACAGGTTTATGCTGTTGCTAAAAACTCATTAAATTAAGAACTGTGCCTATAGGGCTGGGGATTTAGCTCAGTGGCATCATGCCTGCCTGGCAAGCACAAGGTCCTGAGTTTGATTCCTGCTTCCACACACACACACAAAAGAACTGTGCCTATTGCCAGGCATGGTAGCATTCTGAGAGGCTGAGGCAGGAGGATCCCAAGTTTGTGGCCAACCTGGGGAATTTAGTTACTTAACTAAATCTTGTCTCAAAATAAAGAGTTTGGGATGTAGGTCAGTGTGAAGGCTCTGGGTTCAACCCCCCAGTGCTGGGGGAAAAAAAAAAGATTGAGAGAAATGGGCTCAGATAGCACAGACAAGTTTGCCAAAGTAATCTGCAATAGGAAACCAATGCAGAATCTGGGGTTAGGGAGTGATATGATGAGAAAGGAGCTTAAGGAAGATATGCACAGTATGATCCTACATCCCATATCTTGGTTTAGGCTATACACTTTGGAGAAGGTATGGCAGTAGGAAAACCTGGTTGGCAGTATCACAGAGAAATAAATATATAAATGAAACCAAAGACCAGAATGAGGGTATTAGGAATGGAAAGAATAAGCAGAAATGGGTCTCATATTAAAAATGAGGTCCTATAAAAGGGAAATGATGGTAAAGAATTGCATTCTGGATACCAGGAAGACTGATGGGATTAATAGAAGATGGGCATTGGGAAGATGACTTATGGCAGGAGATAAGGCATTCAATTTTAGGATCACAGAGGTGAGGTGACAAAATTTAAATGAGGAAGGATTTAATTATAAAGGATTGCAGAAACATATGCAAGAAGTCAGCTACACCTAGGTGTGGTGGTACAGAGCTGTAATCCTTGATACTCTGGAGGCCAAGACAGGAAGATCACAAGTTTAGCACCAACTTGGGCAACTTAGCAAGATTCTGCCTCAAAATAAAAAATAGAAAGGGCTGAGGATGTAGCTCAGTGAACCCTAGGTTCAATGCCCAGTAGTTCTAAAAAGGAGAGGAAAAGGAGTCAGCTACTATAGACAAAAAATTGATATATAAATAATATATAAAGGAACCCTAATAAAAGCTGTCATTTATATTGTAAGCTAACTGCTTTCATATGTATTTAATGTATAAAAATATACAGAGCCAGGAGTGGTGGCACACAGCTCTAATCCCAGCATTTGGAAGCCTGAGGCAGTAAGATCACTGCAAGTTCAAGGCCAGCCTGGGCTACATAATGAGTTCAACATCAGCCTGAACTATAGAGTGAGAGAATATGTCTCAAAAAAAAGGAGGGGGGGCAGAAATAAAAAGGAAGAGAAAGAAAAGCAGCAAAAAAGGTAAAGAGACACAGGACAGACAGATCTGTTAGAAAGTGGAAAGTGTAAGAAAGGAGACTGGCAATTATAAGCAATGAGCAAGTAAAAATGGATTCAAAGAAAGAGGCAAAATCTAGAACCTTGCTATTCAAAGCACATTCCTTAGACCAGCAGCTCCAGCATCTCCTGGATCTTTTACAATGCATACTCCTGTGCCCCATCCAACCCACAAAATCAGAAGCAGTATTTCAACAAGACCCATGGGCAGTTCTTATGCACTGTGAAGCTTGAGAAGTCCACCTGGAACACTATTTTATTTATTTTATTTTTTAAGACAGAGTCTTTCTCTGTAGTCCTGGCTAGTGTTGAACTATGTAGCCCAGGCTGGCCTTGAATTCACAGAAATCCTCCTGCCTCAGCCTCCCAAGTGCTGGGATTATAGGCATGCACTACACACCCAGCTTGGAATACAGTATATTTTAAACTGTAGCTCTCAACCTATCAGTGAATAACAAACCTACTTAAAATAGAAAATATCAAGAGTGTGTCACACATAGTTAAGTTGTTTTGTCTGAAAAGGCCATGGCTAAACTTTCTTAGTGTGAGTTGAAATATTTAAAATCTTTAGTTGGGCATGGTGGCACAGGTTTATAAACCCAGAACTCTAGGAGGCTGAGACATGAGGACACCCTGGGAAGCTGAAGGCAGGATGATCACAGTTCATTCCCAGCATGGGCAACTTAGCAAGACTGTACCTCAAAGTAAAAAATAAAAAAGACAAGGGACGTAGCTCAGTGCCAAGGTCCTGGACTCAATTTCCAATACTAATAATAAATAATTTTTAAAGCACACCAAAAGCATACTAAGAATCTCTTCATGTGCCTAAGAAGACAGGAAAATGCATAAGCATTTGTCTGTTACTGTTTCTCAAAATTTTGACAATGAATCACATTAAGAAATACATATAGACTAGTAACACGTGTGTAACATAAAATGAAAACAAGTTTCACAAAACAATCCCCTTACCTAGCCATATACTCTATTTTCTAGATTTTTAAAATGGTGCTTGGAATCCATAAATTCTTTTATAGATTGCCACTCAAAGTTTGCAAAATAATGATCTACATGCTTTTGGGCCTCAATCCTTTGCTAAGAGGTATTTTGGAAGTACTGCAGAAAAGAAATTTAAGAATTGCTATTACAGAGCCCAGCATGGTGGCTCACTCCTGTAATCCCAGCACTCTGGAGGCTGAGGCAGGATCACTTCGAGCTCAAGGCTAGCCTGGGCTACATAGTGGATTCAAGACCAGCTTGAACTACATAGTGAGACCCTGTCTCAAAAAAAAAAAAAAAAAAAAAAAAAAAAAGCTATTATACATAGAAAAGAGCTTACGAAATGATACTTAAATAGCTACAAAAAAGCCAAACTAGTGTTAAATGTATCAGTTATGAAGGGTTTTTTTTTTAACCCCCTCTCTAAAGTTCCAAAAAAGCAGATAGGGCTGAGGGATGAAAGCTGGTGAAGAACCTATGGTTCTAAGTTAGTACTAAGAACCAGAGCATCGGTAACTAATCTAGCTTTAGTCAAGGAAGTGAGGCTGGTTCTCGATGCCTTGTTCAGAAAGGCAGGTGCTGACTGAGCACACTCTTGGCTTTGGCTTGAGAAAGTTGATTGTGATATCATACCTTGGCAACTATATCAGCAAAATCTCCAAGCCTAGCCCCTGAGGGGGCCCAATTTCTCAGGCTAATGTTTTAGCGCTGTGCTCGAGGCAGCCTATAATTAAGGGCTGAGAGAAACCGATGACCTGAGAATGAAGAATGGAGGACAGAGCTTTTTCCAAGAATCCGAGAGCTGGGGAAGCCAAGCTGCTGCTAGGCCTTCTCTATGGCTTAGAGGGTTCGAAAAACTGAGCCCGGACAAAAGAGGTCTCCTTCTGAGTCATGGCAGTCCTGACGAGAAAGCAGAGACCGCAGAGACCCCAGGCTCTTCAAGCGGGACTATTTCACAGCTCTCAAAGCTCCCGGGGGTCCCCCTATTTCCCACTGCGCCCCGCGCGGCATCCCGAGGCTGTCAGCACCCTCCAGGCTCAGGAGAAGCGGCTTCGCTGTCCCCATTTCTCCCGTGAGGCGCAGAGGCCAGCCCGGTAACACTGAGTTTTGGCAAGCTTGAAAATTCTCCCACCTTCACTTTAATTAGCATCTTCTTCCCTGGTAGAGGCTTCAAGCTGATAAATTGGTGCGACTCCTGCTGCGGGCAGAACTGCGGCTTCCCCTAGGAAAGTCACTTCTGCTTCCGGGTCACGCTGTGGCTCCACCTTCCCCTTTTTTCAACAGGTTTCACGACTCAGGAATGATCGCTTGCTATGTTTCAGTGCCGTCGTAAATAAAAAGAAGCTAGCCACCTTAGTTTCAGCAGTGATGACTCCCAAGATTCTCAGAGTTTCTACCCAGCCAGAAATAGAAAGCTGGGACCGAAGGGACCACTTCTCCCATCATGCCTGGAGGCAGCTCCACCCTTTGGACCCTGGGACTTGTAGTCTACTGCCGCTCGGATGCAACAACAATCCCGGTGTGTGAACTCTGTTACCCAGAAGACCAAGCAGGTCTGTCGCCCGAGGTGGAATTCCTCGGTTAGTCTTCCTGCAGGCAATTAGCGGAATCTGTTGGCTTGGCCCGCCAGACTTAGAGGGGTTGCGCGAGGCTAGTTGCTAAGCGACAGGATCTTTTGGTCAACTGCCACCTTGGCTAAGGCCATAGGAAGTGAGTACCCCTATGCCGGAAGCTGATTGAGCCTTACCATTCCTTCTACTTCCTAAATCAGGCTTTTACTCCAAATTTGTCTTCACAGCAGCAGGAGGAGGAGGTGTACCTGGTTACACTCACAACCCCATCGCAGTTCTTGCTAACAGTTAGTACTTGGGATGGAGGTATCAAGGACAATCCCAGCTACAGGATGGGCCTGACCACGGGCTTCAGGGAGGACACCTTGACCCACAGTCCTGGCCTCCACAATTAAGCGGAGAGAAGGGCCTGCAGTCCAACATAGCATTAAAGCCCAAGGGGCTATTGGTTTAAGACCTTCTTTCTGACTTCCAGCCTTCCAGCACCCAAGTTTGTGGCTTCCTTTGGTCCCCAGCCATGCCTCATATCGACAGCGATTTGAAACTGGATTTCAAGGATGTTCTATTGAGGCCCAAACGCAGCACCCTCAAGTCTCGAAGTGAGGTGAGCCAGCTTTTCTCTACTTTTTTAAATTAAAAATTTTTTTTTTTTGCCTTATGCACCTGGTGGGCCAGGCAGTACCAAGAAACTGCCTGGTTCTTGTCCTAATGTGACACTTGTTTTCTGAATGAATAACATGCCCATTTCCTGTTCATATCTGTAGGTGGATCTCACAAGATCCTTTTCATTTCGGAACTCAAAGCAGATGTACACTGGCATCCCCATCATTGCTGCCAATATGGATACTGTGGGCACCTTTGAGATGGCTAAGGTTCTCTGCAAGGTGGGACTTCCTTGTACCTGTTACCCAATGGTATCCAGTTAGTCCTGCTGGCTGCAGAGGTGTTTGCATCTCCCATTCCCTGTCTCCTTGTCTCCACCTCTCTCTAGTGACAAGCAGTTAGGGTGACCTGTTTACTATTTTCTGTGGTACAAAGGCCTCTTTATTTGATCAGATAAAAAGGCTGTCTGAACTTTGAGATTCAAAGTTAAATTTTGCCCCATTTTTCTGATATATGAACAACTTTCTCTTTATACCTTATCACCCTTTTCTACTGCACAGGTCACCCCCTCCTATCATGTATGTCCCTTCAGTCACAACACTGTTTGCAACATTAAACATTCACTGTTTTAGTCCAGAAAGTAAAGTTTGAATATTCAAATTTTTGTAACTAGAATATTGTAGAAAGTTAATTTTAGAGAGTTAATTTTTTTTCTTTTTATAATCATGGGGCAGAGAGTTAATTTGTAATACCTACTATTCCTTTTTTTTTTTTTAAATTTTCCTCTTAAGTCCTAGGTTCCTCGGAGTTCTTGTGATGTGCCTCAAATAGAATGTTTTTTCTTACGTACAGGTTGTTCATATTGAAAATGGAAGACATTGTTCCTGTCAGTATTATTACCTGCCTCTGTGCTTGTAGCTGAGAAGGTAGATAATTCCCTGGGCATTTCAAGAACATATGCATACTGCTGGTTAATTTGTGTAGCCCTAGTCGACAGGTTCTGTTGCTGGTTGTTTCTGTGTTAGCTTTAAGCACTTCATCTCCTTGTCCCGTTTTTTTTGTTGTTTTGGTATCAGAGATCGAACTCAGGACCTTGCACTTGAGAGGCAGGTGGTGGCACCACTGAGCTAAATCCCCGGCCCTCCTTGTCCCCAGTTTTGTTTCCTGTGTCTTTGTGGAATGTCCGTTGTGATTTCTGAGTTTGATAGTTATGCAGTTTTATTTATTCCTGTTGCCATTCACTGTTAGGAACCCTGCCGTTGTCCATTGTCTGCCTGCCCTGACCAGTAGACTGGGCAATAGTAAATATGACTGTAGAGTTAAAAAATTTGTTCTAATAAATGAACCTTGTTGGAAACTGTTTGAATTGAGATTGGCTGTCAGTATTGTTGAGGAGTACTAAGGAAATCAGATTTTAGAGGTAGAGCCAATTCTCACAATAATAATAAAAAGGCTGGATGCAAGCAAACATCTTTTTCTAGGCTTGGCATGTACTGTATGAGCTCATCATGGCACATTAGGCCAGCGAACCTCCCAGACCTATTGACTGCCTAGAACAGTGATGCTGAACCTTTTAGAGCTTTCAATGATAACAAACAGCTTCCTGTAGCATGCATGCCATAGGCTTGCCACCACTGGCCTAGAAAAACATCTTTTACCAGCATGTTGATGGTAGTGTTGCTGATAGAGAATTCAATTTCAGCTTTACCTAGTGATAATGACCTCTGAGGAAGTACAGCATTTTCTGTGGCTACCTCATCCATAACTTCTTTGGGTTTCTCTTCAGTTGTTGTCATCTTGTTTGCATGTTTCTACTTTAAAAGCACCAACACTAGCATTCAGGTCCTTTTATTTTATTTTATTTTATTTTGGTACCAGGGATCGAACTCGGGTCCTTGCGCTTACGTAGCAGGCGTTGAAACCACTGAGCTAAATCCCCAGCCCAGGTCCTTTTAAATGCCTTTCTCAAAGTATTGGAATATTCTTCACAATTTGTTGAGTTAGAGAGTGTGAGCCTGATGAGTCATTGTATCTTTGAATTTGGTTGACTAAAATAGATGAATGAAACAGACTTTTCATGTTTATGTCTGAAAGAAGAAAATGGGTCCTCTAGTAGAAATGGAAAAAGGATGGGTGGCACCTTTTCAGCTCCATTAACCTTTAGGCCTTATCTTTTGTGGTCATCTAGACATTCTGAATTACTGCTAGAAAGTGGACCAGAATATATCAAAATTAGATTCAGGTTGTACTAAGTTACCTTAGGAGGAGAGGTTAAGTGAGGACAAACACTGGCTTATCTGGCTTCTTTATTGTTCCTCTAGGTCTGCTACTTGTTCCATTACACCAGCAGCTTCTCCTTGTCACTTTTAGGTCAGAAGCAATGTACATGCTAGCAGATCGAATGCAATTTACATAACTCAGTACACTGAGAGAAATATTTGACATATACTAGCTTATATGGTAAAGTCCTATTGGGATTTGTAGGGAGGATAATGATTAAATTAAATCCTAGCTTAACCGTGAACTTTTTTTTTGGTACCAGGGATTGAACTTGGGACCTTGCGCTTGTGAGGCAGGCACAGTGCCACTGCGCTAAATCCCTGGCCCTATCTGTGAACTTTTAAAAGTGGCTTTCCTTTCAAACTCCAGTATTTTCTCTCTCAGAATAGTAGAAAAGTGTATTTCTAGGAACAGACATTAATGAAGTTTTCTCCTTTTTGATGATTCTCTTTCTTCTCCCCAGTTCTCCCTCTTCACTGCTATCCATAAGCACTACAGCCTTGATCAATGGCAAGAGTTTGCTAGCCAGAATCCTGACTGTCTTGAGGTAACACTGGGCCTACCCTGCTCCCTTCCTTATCCCAGTTTTCCAGGAATGCTTTTTTGGCTTTTTGGAGAACAACTCTCATGCTTACCCCTTATTGGCTGCTCACCAGATCATCTCTCATATGATGCCACAGGCTAGACTAATGTCTCTCATACCAAAGGCCCTGTTTTTCTCATAGTATATGGCTGCCAGCTCAGGCACAAGCTCTTCTGACTTTAAGCAGCTGGAACAGATCCTGGAAACTATTCCTGAGGTGAAATATATATGCCTGGATGTGGCAAATGGTTACTCTGAACACTTTGTTGAATTTGTAAAGGATGTCCGGAAGCGCTTTCCCCAACACACTATCATGGTATGTTTCTATTTTCTTGTAGTTGGTCCATTCCTGTCCTTCCACTCTTTCCTGATACTCCATTTTGTTATATCATATCAGTTCATTTCTCCTCTGTTGCATTATGCTATTTTGACTCCACATAATGTTACTGGGTGATTATTCATGTTTCCAAGTTTAAAATATATCGATCAGTGCAGTATCTCTGACCCTTGATTCTTAGTCTTTGTTAATCCAGTGTCCCTCACATCACTCACCAATCCACAATGGAACTGTACCTACCTGTGGTACATATACTTCTACACACTGAAATGGATATGTACTGCAGTCATATGAAAGGCATGTCATTAACATTGTTTAATTTTCTTGGAAGCTTAGGAGAATGATGACAAGGCCTCATCATTGACATTTCAGGAGGTGTCTCATCAAAAGCAAATACAAGCTGTACGTAGTGGTACACCCTGTAATCTGAGCAGTTTGGATGGAGACAGGAGGACTTCAAGTTCAAATGCTGCCTTGGCATCTTAGTGAGACCTGGTCTCAAAATACAAAAGGGGCTGGGGACATAGCTCAGAGGCAGAGAACCCATGGTTTTGATTCCCAGTACTAAAAAAAAGTAAGAAAGGCAAATACAGCTGGGGCATATGGGTATATAGCATATATCGCTATTTCTTCCTCCTCCCTAGGGTCAGAGAAGTTCTATGATACAACAGCTTCAGGACAGGATATGTTTGATTCACTTGGTGGTGAAGGGGAGATAAGTTTACTTATAACTCAAATCTGAGTTTGGTCTAGCAGCTTTTTTTTGCCTCACTCCATGCCACTTCACATCTCACTATTGATCACACCATTTTATTGCTGAAGCAGTGTAATGCATCCTGGACCCTGGATTTACCCTAGTTTAACAGTGACCCTGGCCATTCTCATTCAAAACGCCCTGCTTCCCACCATTCTTCTCATTTCAGCGTGATGTGGGCACCAAGGGTAAATGGGTAGGAAACACTGCCCTTTTGAGTTAGCTAGTATAAAAGCTCTTGGTGGGCCTAGTAGAGGGGACCGTGGTACCTTTTCTTTGTCCAGGCATGTTATCTATGAAAACACACAAACTCCTCTCCATTTCTGATGCTCTATTTTGATTGCTGTGTCTCAGGCTGGGAATGTGGTAACAGGAGAAATGGTAGAAGAGCTGATTCTTTCTGGAGCTGACATCATCAAGGTGGGAATTGGGCCAGGTAAGCCATTGGTGACCTCTTCAGTGGTGGCCAATATCTGTGAAGCATTTCATTCTCACCTTTGTCATGTCCTATGCCAGGCTCTGTGTGTACAACCCGGAAGAAAACTGGAGTGGGGTACCCACAGCTCAGTGCAGTGATGGAATGTGCCGATGCTGCTCATGGTCTCAAGGGCCACATCATTTCAGTAAGGGCCAAGGGGTGGATAGAATATGAGGCTGCCAAACAGCTGAGTTTTCTGCGGTATGGAGGCTCTGGTAGAGATGGGTCAGGATTTCTGGGTTTCAGTCTGCTTTGAAGTGGGCTATTGGGATGTTGATGAAAGCTTGGAAAATCCATGCTGTCCCTACAAAGTGTTCCTTACTTTCCAGGATGGAGGCTGTAGCTGTCCTGGGGATGTGGCCAAAGCTTTTGGTAAGAAAGCTGAGAAGGCACAGAAGGAAGATCCTGTAGAAGAGCATGATTTGCCTGAGGGTCTAGGGCCAGGCCAGGATGAGCTCAGGAAGCTATTCAGACTTTCATAATATGAACTAATTACTCTGAAGCTTGCTTATGGTTAACCAGTGCAAACCAACAGGAGAAATCTGAGACTCATTTGAATTCTCCATGTGTGAGGCAGGACCATCTCCACTGTCCATTGAATTGTTGCACAATGTAGATTCCTAAGCCTCACTCAAGACCTACCAAGATCAGCCTCTGAAGAATGGGGCTATGTCTGCATTATTCACAGCTTCCCAAGTGACCCTTACATTAATATGAGAGACCTCAGCCGGGCTTGGTGTTGCTTGCCTGTAATCCCAGCACTTGGGAGGCTGAAGCAGGATGATTTAGGTAAATTTGAGGCCAGCCTGGGCTACATAGCAAAACCCTGTCTCAAAAAAAAAAAACTTCTTCAGACTTGAAGTCTTTATCACCTAGAAGCAGTAAAATGAAATGACCAGCAGAAGGCAAAAGCAACAAAAGAACAGAGGTCAGACATGGAATTCCCAAAGGTACTTTAAAAAATCATGAGGAAATTAGGTCCTTTGAGTGAAGGCCAGTGAATATCGGCCCTGTGGCTCAGCTAGGGAAACAAAACTGGGAAGATGCTTGAGTCATTATTCAGGACTGAGAATTTGGCATAAGTTTTTTGTTTTTTGGGTTTTTTTGCATAAGTTGTTTTTGAGGGAGGCCATGAGAGAACTTTGGCCAGCTACATCTTTTCCCCACCTTCTTGATTTTGGCAGGGGCAGGGGCTGACTTTGTAATGCTAGGTGGCATGCTGGCTGGGCACAGTGAGTCGGGTGGTGACCTGATTGAAAGGGATGGCAAGAAGTACAAGCTTTTCTACGGAATGAGTTCTGAAATGGCCATGAAGAAGTACGCTGGTGGTGTGGCGGAATACAGGTATATATGGAGGCCCAGCAGCTGAGGGTTCTTGCAGAAAGTATCTATGTAGTGTGGTGTCAGAACTTGTGGCTTCTAGAAGACAATTCCCAGGAGGAAATGTTGAAATGGGGCTTAATGGGGCTAAATGCTAGAGAGGATTAGGCTTAAGGAATCCAGAACAAGAAAGTAATAATGTTTTTCTTATTCCAAGGGCTTCGGAGGGAAAGATAGTGGAAGTCCCTTTTAAAGGGGATGTAGAACATACCATTCGTGATATCCTAGGGGGAATCCGATCTACATGTACTTATGTGGGAGCAGCTAAGTTGAAAGAGTTGAGTCGGAGAACTACCTTCATCCGAGTTACCCAGCAAGTGAATCCAATCTTTGGTGATGCATGTTAGACCTGAGCAGTTCTGGCACTGGCACTCCGCTGAAGGGCCACCCAAGTGGCTCCTCACCTATCCCAGCTAGTGTCCCTGTGTACAACTTTGTGACTTCCTGTCACCTTACTCCTGAAGGCTCCTGCAGTAACTTTTTTTTTTGGTACCGGGCCCTTGTGCTTTCGAGGCATGCAGAGGAACCACTGAACTAAATCCCCAGCCCTCCTGCAGTAACTCTTTATTTCTTTATCTGCGCACACAAATTGCCCAGGGCACTCACTGGGGCAGAAGCTAGGAAGAAGACAAAATGAGGAAATGAAGATCTTTAAATGTGAATCTGGGGACCCAGAATCCTGAAGATTGAGTAAAGATATTGATTGATGTGTTTTCTATGGTCTTGATCTGGAAGAAGGAAGCATTTACAATCATGTTTTGTTAATCAGCTCATTAAATGACATCCTCAGGTATCTCAAGCTCAGAAGTGTTGACATAATAAAGAGAGAGCTCATGAACTGTAAAGAGATGCTGGGTCTCTGCACAGTTCTGGCATCTGGGTGCTGCTCCAGGGTTGTCAGTTGGATCTGCACTGACTCCCTGGGATCACCACGATAACCCTTCTCTGCACCCGTAACACTTTCCAAGCAAGGAAAAAGGCAAAGGGCTCCTCCAGCTCTAGGGAGGCCAGTTCTAAGGAATGACCTCTGCTGACCCACGGAAGCCTTAATTTCCCTTCCCCACATCAAGACAGTGTGACAAATCCAAAATTTAATTAGCAAGCATTACACCGCTTTTAGCATGAATTCAGGCAACCCAAGGCTGAGCTTCCACTTCATTCCCACTAAGCTGACTGCAGAGCTGAGAAAACAGGTGGACAGAGGGCAGACGGTATTCCAGTGGTTTCACAGGGGTCTAGAGCTGTCTGTGCAGTCAGAGGAAGGAGCAAGCACGGAACTGGAGCCACAGGTGGGGAGGTATTCACAGAAGGTGGGGACCAGGGTATCATACTTTGTCTTCTGATAGTTTCCCAGAGACTCCTGTAGAGAAGGGAGCAGGGGGAGGTGGTGGTGTTTCCATCATGGAAATGATTTCCGGAGCTCTTATTCTGGAGCCTGTGGGCTTCTCATTCTCAGTCATGTTCTTCTGCCCATCCTTTGCCCCAGCTTTCTGCTCCTTGCTACTCACCTTTCCTTCCCTCTGGCTATTTTCTTCCTCTTCAGAGTCCAAAACCAAGTCCCCTATGGTAATGACTGAGGTGGTCAGAAATGGAGAACATGCTGCAGGAAGGAAACCGGAAGCAAATTTCTCTTTCTAGGTGAACACAGGCCTGTGGAAAGAGGCTGTCTGATCCAATCCCGTTTATTTATTTATTTATTTTTGGTACCATGGATCAAACTCACAACCTTTCCCTTGTGAGGCAGTTTCGGTGCCACTGAGCTGAATCCTGGCTAATCTAATCCCTACTCAGCACACCTACCTGGCTTCTTGGCCTTGGGAGGTGATAATGACAGTCTCAGAGGGTTCATGTAGCAATCCAAGCAATTCCTGAGAGGGAAGCAAGCAAAGGGTAAAGGGAAAGAAGGCAAAGAATGTGCTCCTAGCAGGGGGAAGCAACCCTTCTACTCACTCTGTTGGCTCTGAGGCTGACGATGCAGGTGGGTTCTCCTTCAGTGCCCGTTCCCCCAGGACCTGAGATGGACTCTTTGACTTGCCAGTGAAGGCTGTTCTTGTGCCCACACAGGCTGTGTCTGCTGTGTGTATCCCACGCTCTTCCCTGCTCTCAGGTTTAGCTATGACTTGGCTTGGTGGGTCCAGATTCCTGAAGGGCAGCAGCATGACCGTGGGGCGCTCTTTATAGCTGCCCGTTGCAGATGTCCATCGGGACTGGAGTTTTCGCTGGCCTAGCGGGGCCAGATTGAAGTGGTGGCCAGCTAAAGATTAGGGATGCTTCCTTGAAGCTGGTCCCTGAGGGCTGGGCTTGGCTTTTGGCAGAGGACTGTGGAGAGCTGGTCTTGATTGCTGAGGATGATTCTGTTCCATGGGCTCAGTCAAGTTCATTGAGCCAGAAACAAAGGGATCTGAAAGAAAAACATGAGGTTCCTTATAAAGAGAACAGATACTCTTCAGGCCCATGTAACTTCCAGTGGGCTGACTCAGATGATGTCAGGCTAAACACTACCTCCCTAAATTGCTAGTTGCCAGATGGTCCTGGTACCTGGAAGTGGCCACCCCATGTTTGCAGCATACTGGCTCAAGGCAAGAGAAGAGGTGATAGAAACTCCAGGCTGCATCCAACTCAGCACATCTTGAAGCTGTGGGTAGGCAGATGTATGAAGACCACAGCTTTTGATACAATCACCCCACACTCTGCCCTTGTGCTTTGCCCCAACAAAACCTGCTGTGCCTCTACTGCAGGCAGTGCTTTCTCTAGCTGACACAAGTATTCAAAAAACAGCTTTTCCATGGCTGCCAGAAAGGGATCCCCATACTCTTGTTCAAGCTCCTGCTGAGTGGAAAAGAAGGTCAGAAGAGGAGGATAAAAACAGGAGCCACCTAATAACCTGCAAACCAGCCAGTCTCACCTGCAGCTTTGAGGCCAAATCCACAGGGGCTTCTGACAGTTGCTTCACGTGCTGGCAAAAGGTTTCCCGTGCCTCCAAAATCTTCCTCAGATCCCGCTTTGTCTGTTGAGGAAGGGTATGGAAGGCATAAGAGTTGGGGACAGCAGGATCCAGTGGTCCGGAGAAGGGGCCACTTTGTTGCACTAAGTGTAACTGTGGTTAGGGCTTGTTCCAGGGATTACTCACAGCTCTCGGGTCGGGCGGTGCAGGTGCAGACTCTGGGAAGTGGCGATTCAGGACACTCAGAACCTGAGCCCAAGGCTGGCCTTGCAGGATCATCTCCACCACCATCTACACGGTACTGAGCTCAGAAGCCCGTTTCGGGCAAGCGACCCTTTCCAACTAGTCTCACCCCCAACCTGATAGCCCTCCACAGGTCCTCGCACCCCGCCCCTTTCCAGATTCTCCGCGCTCCAATACCTTGGCCTGTAGGCCCATACACAAGCGCTCGTGGTGCCGGTAGCGAACCAAGCCGGGGGCGGCCGCGCGCAGGGAGCGCAGAAACTGCAGGACTCGCGGGAAATGCTCCACGCAGCGTCCGCGCACCACTCGCCAGCAGGCTGCGGCCGCCAAGCGCCAAGTGGCGGGACCGGCCCCCTGGGGCGTGGCCATGATCGGCGGGCTACGTCCCAGGGAGGTCCCTTCGGGTGCCTTCCCCGGGGGAGGCTTCTAAACCCTATCCTAGGGGTGGGGGTCCAGCAGCCCTCCGGAAGTCGAGTCACTTTTTCCGCGAAGGTCACAATGCGATCTGCCTCAGCCATTTCAGTAGGCCACCAGAGTTATGGAGTCACTTTCTATCTTGCCGTGGAACATCAATGGAGAAGCAGGCCGTCCGTCAAGGCACCAGACTGCTCAGGTTTAAACGCTGCCGCCATGTGGAACGTGAGAGACTTCACTTCCGTTTCTGAGACTGGTTTCCCTTTCCCTGTAAAAGCGCGGGAGGAGAGAACCATTGGGCGGCCAGATAGAGACGTGCGTTGTGACGTCAGAATATCGCGCCTTGCCCCTCTCCCGCGGCCTCTCAAGCCCACTTTCTCCTCTAGTAGGTAAGGCGGCTGAAAGGTGGTGGTGGTGGTGGTGACTTTGCCGAGGTTTACAGTGGTAGGCCTACGGATTGAAGTGGCGTCATTATGGAGCCCCAACCTCGTGGTCTGTAAAGTGGAGATAACGCTTCCTGCCTCCTCCATCGCCTTCTGTTGAAATTGGGTTCGTTGGGCCGGGGATTTAGCTCAGTGGTTTCGGTTGCCAGCTGCGCAAGCGCAAGGACCCAAGTTCGATCCCCGGTACCAAAAAAAAGAAAGAAAGAAAGAAAGAAATTGGGTTCGTTAAATCTGAAGACTTTCCCCTGTGTCGCGCCACTTAACTCTACGCTTCCTTTCCCTAAAGAGAATGGGGCGCCGGCCCTTAAACAGTAAAATACAGGGCTGGGGTGATGCTCCTCAGTGGCACATGGTCTGCCTAACAGAAGGGAAGCCCTGTCTTTGATACCCAGCGTCTCGAAGGAATGAAGGAACGTGTGAGTGAAATAAAATAAAAATTAGAAAATTTGGAACCTGGGGCACCCCTGTATTCCAGCTGTCCTGAAGGCTGAAGCAGATCCACGCAAGGTAGAGGTTAGCCTGACAAGTGAGAGACCGTGCCCCAAAATAGAAAAAAAATTTTTTTTTCATTGTTGGGATCCAATTTAGTGCCTGAAAGTTCTAGGCCAGTGCTTTACCATTATGCCACAGCCCAGCTTAAAATAGAACAAAAGGGTTAGGGATAGCTCAGTGGTAGAATTCCTTTGGATTAAATCCCTATAATTGAAAAAAAATGTTTGAAAAGGGCAACATGTTGTTACCCTGGTTTCCACTGGATGGTGGTAGTATAGATAGTTGTGTTGTGCTTTTCTGTGTTATCTATTTCCCGTCTCCTATAATTTTGTTTTGTTTTTTGTACCTGGGATCAAACTCAGGACTTTCTGCTTGCCTGGCAGGCATGGGCCAAAGAGCTACTTCCCCATCCTGTTTCATATTTTAAATTACATTTTGCCAGTGTGTTGGAACACATCTGTGATCCCCATACTGAGATGGCTGAACCAGGAGGATCAGAAGTTAGAGTTCAGCTGGGCCACTTTCAGATACTGTATCTGGTCTGAAAATAAAATAAAAGGGCTGGGGATGTACCTCAGTTGGAAGACCTTGAGTTTCAATCCCCAGTACTGGAAGTAAATATAAATAAACAATCAGTAAATAAATAATTTTAAAAACAGTTTCCTTTTCCAAATGTCTGTTGTGCACAGAAGTATAAGCAAACTCTTAATGAATTTACTGTTATTATCTTGTCATCCTTTCTAGTGCCTGCCTCTAAGTCCATCACCAAGCACCGAACCTGGCACACATTGTATACTGCGTTCACTGAGCTAATTAACCTGCCTTGACCACCTTATAAAGACAGTGAAACTTCGAAATGTTTTGGGCCATTTCTTCCATTCCTAGACCTAATGGCTCACATTGTATTCCTCATCACCAGATCAGTCTTCGAAAATGATCCACACAGGGCTGGGGATTTAGCTCATTGGCGCTGTACCTGCCTTGCAAGCATAACATCCTGAGTTCAATCCCCGGTAACAAAAAAAAATAAAATAAAATGATCCACACATTTAGTATATGTGCTGCTGAATCAGCACAGAATTCACATATTTAATTGCCCATGGGACACCCAGTTCCAGAGTACCACAGATAAGACATATGTAAATTTTAGTTATCTTACGTTTTCATTTATTCTTTCTCTTAATTTTCTTCCTTTCTTCATGTCGATTGAATTTCTGACCTGTATCATTTTCATTCTTTCCAAAGAGTTTCTTCTAATGTGTTTTGCAAGACAAGTCTACTGGGGACAAATTTCACCAGTTTTTAAGTATTTCTACCGCCTCTTTGAAAGGTACTTTTGCTTTGTACAGAATACTAGATTTGAAGGGCTTTTTTCCCCCCTTTTCAATGCTCTAAATATATTACCCCACTCCCTTCTTTACTGAATGGTTTCTGAATGAATATTAATGTAATTTTTTTTTTTTTTTTTGGAACCAGGGATCGAACTCACGACCTTGCGCTTTCGAGGCAGGCCACTGAGCTAAATTCCCAGGCCCGATGTAATTACCTTTGCTTCTCTATAGAAAAGTTTTTCCGCCCTATTCCTTGCTTGTTCCAGTATTTTTTTTTTTTGTCTTTGATTCTGCAGTTCAAGTATAATGTGCCAAGGTCCTGCTGTTTTTTGTTTTGTTTGTATTTATTTTCTGCTATCCTTTTGTGTTAGTATTTATCATGGTTGCCATTCTCTTGAGTTTCCTGGATCTACATTTGGTATCATTAGTTTTGGGAAATTCTCAGTATTGTTGGCTTCACACATTTCTTTTGTTCTTTTTTTTTGGTACTGGAGATTGAACTCGGGACCTTGCGCTTTTGAGGCAGGCGCCGGAACCACTGAGTTAAACCCCCGGCCATATTTCTTTTGTTCTTTATCTTCATTATGTGTGTAAACCTCTTGTAATGATCCTGCAATTCTTGGATATTCTGTTTTTCATTTTTTTTCCTCTGCATTTCAGTTTTGGAAATTTCTGTTGACATTTCTTCAAACTCATTGATTCTTTCCTCATTCTTGTTCAGTCTACCTGGAACCAATCAGACCATCTTCATTTTGTTAGTTTGTTTTTTTTTCTAGCATTTTCTTCAAGTTCTTTCTTAGGATTTCTTTTTTTTTTTTTTTTTTTTTTTGGTACCAAGGATCAAACTGTGGACCTTCCGCTTTCAAGGCAAGTGGTGGAACCACTGTGCTAAATCCCTGGCCCTCTTTCTTAGGATTTCTATCTCTCTGTTTATATTGCTCACCTGTTCATCCATGTTATCTACTTTTCCTTTAGAATTCATAGCATGTTTATCATAGGAGTTTATTATTTGCATTACCAGGTATTTAACCCAGGGCCTGGCAATGAGCTGTACTCCCCAACACAATCCCTTCTTTGAGACAGGGTGGATTTTTCTAAGTTGTGAAATTGCCCACCTTGGACTGGAACTTGCTATCCCCCTGCCTTACCCTCCTGTAGTGCTGAGATTACAGGTGTGCACTCTCATGCTTGGATCAGTGTAAAATAAAATAGGATGATAGGAAGATCTACTTAAATAAAAGGATTAATGGAGATGAGGAAATAAACCATAGAGACATTTGAGGAAGAACTTTATATTTAGAGAATGTAGCATACAGAGGCCCTGAAGCAGAAATGGGCCTGGCATGTACAGGAAAGCAGAGGAGCTGGGGCCAGGGATAGACCAAGCCAAGGGAGAGAAATGGGGGTTGAGGTCAGAGTACGAGGTAACTAAGGATTCTGGCTTTGGGTGAAGCCGGAAAGTTTTGCGCAGAGGGTTGACAGTCAGATTCACCCGCTCATGGCTACTATGTGATGAGTCACTGTTATGGTTTAGATATGCAGTGTCCTTGAAAGCCTTGTGTATGGAAGGTGATTGGATATGAGGGTGCTATAGCTGGTGTGCTCTGAGCAGCCTGGTTGGAGGTGGGTCACTGGGGGGATGACCTCGAAGGATATATCTGCCTCCCCAGCTTCTCTTTTTTCTTCTGCTACCTGGCTACCATGATTTGAGCAGCTCTTTGTCCACCATGGCTCTCTGCTGTGCTATTTCTGCTTTGGAACCAAGTGCACATGGACTAGAACTATGATCCAAAAGAATCCTTTAAATTGTGGGTGTTGGGTATTTTGTCTCGGCGACAGAAACATGAAATATGACTAAGCTTTTGGGTATGATAGGGCAAGTAAGTATGGAGGTGGGAGAAGATCTAGGAAGCTGGTGCTTTAATCTAGGTGAGAGTTGAGGGAGCTCTGACAGAATAGTAGCCACACAGGTGATGGGAGCAGTCAGATTCTGGACACATATGTATGGAAAATAGAACCCTAAGCACTTGCTGACAGATTGGATGTGGGATGTGTGAGAAAGAAAGGAGTCAAAGATAACTCCAAGATCATGAGCCCAAGAATTTGGAAAACTGGAGTTGCTATTGACTGGGATGGGGTGGCTGTGGCAGGTCACAGTGCAGGAAAGCCAGGAGTCACATTTGTCACATGAATCATCTGCTGGATGTCAGACATGTTGAGAAGATGGTAGATGGATAAGGTTGAGGAGATTTGAGCTAAACAGCAGATCTGGTGATACAATTTTGGAAACCAGCAATCCTTAAAACCTTAAGACTGGCTGACATCACATAGGCAGATGTAGCTGGGTGAGAGAGCACCTGGGAGCAATCCCAAGTCTCTCAGTCAACCTGAGAGCAGAGGAGGGGGTAGGAGCCAAGGAGACAGGGAAAGGCAGCCTTTCAGATGCAGGAAGAACAGAATGGCTTCCTGGAAGCAAACCTTCGCAAAGTCTTTTAAAACTATGTTTTCAAAACATATTTAATGAGACTTCTGGGAAGATGGTAGAGTGGTGAGCAGCAGAGAAAGAGCCTCTCTGAGGCGAATATAGTGACACGAATATAGTGGCATGAGAAGGAGGGAAGTGGGTCCCTGGGACCCAGGAAGGATCCAGAGCCAGAACTGAAGTCCATGGGAAGACTGAAGAGAGACAACAAAGAGGAGGGAGGTAGCAAGCAGCA